GAGTAAATTAAGGAGTTTGCACGCTTAATATTTAGAGCACAATAATTAAAATCTTTAAAGTGATTTCAAACGACTAAGTAAAACCAAAGAGCGGTAAAATAAAAGCTTAGACCGAATCACACGCGTAAAAGTGGAGATCAGAAAACCATCAAGTTAATCTAATGTTTCATACATGGGAGGTGTTCAACGATAAATCCCTAAACTAACAATGAAAATAGTCACTATGAAGGCAAGTCCCTCTCTCATTTCTTAAGATACTAAGCTTTAGCGGGGAGGATGATGATGAACTCACTGAATTAATTAGTTCCACAACTGAGAATGACTAGGAGAAAAAAAGAAATAAGGGGAAGAGTTCACCCAAATTTTGGTCTTGGAGCTTTGTGATAGCACTTGGAAAGATCTCCCAAATTGGATAATCACTTTCTTTGGTTGAATCTTCTCTGGACAGCAGTCTGGATCTTGTTTGGAGAGTTGGGACAACAGCTGGGGAATTCCTGAGCAGTAGGACAGCAGTTTTTGCTGATGAAAACCTTCTGGGCAGCAATTAGAGGGCTCATGGCAGCAGTACGGCTGATCACCCCTTGCTGGAATGGATGGACAGCAGGTTGTTCCTCTTGAAACAGCAGTTCGAGAGGGTCTTGTTGACGTGAGAGGCTTGGAGAGGTGCAGGAATTCTGGACAGCAACCTTCTGAGAGCTACGGGAGGGAGGTGGATGGGAGGAGGGGCTTGGGTTTGGGAAGAAAATAGGTTTAGTGGGATGTTAGGAATTTAATCAAATCTGAAATTTCTAATCTCAGATTTGATTAATTAGAAGGGGATTGATTTGAATTTTAAAATTCAAATAATAGGAATTAATGCATTGAATGGGGGTTTAATGGATGGGAGCCATATATGGGGCCGGCGGTTTCATTAGAGGAGGGAGGGAGTTTTAAAACTCAAAACCTGAAATTAATTTCAGGATTTTGAATAGAAAGGGTGGGAAATTAATTTGAAATCAATTTGATTTCAAATTTGGGGGAAGGGGAGTTAAGTAGCAATTAATGGGATTAATTCCCACTAAGGGGCCGGCGGCATGTAAGAGGAAGAGAGAAGGAAATCCAAGAGGAAAGGAATTCGTCATGAAAACTTTCCTAAATTGGAAATCCCAATTAGGAAAGAATTTGAATTTTGAAATTCAAATTTCAAATTTGAAACTTGCGGAAGGAGGGATTGGACGGGTGGGGAAGGTCGCCGGCAAGGTGGCCGGCCGGGGCCGTGGGAGTGGCCGGCGGCGGGCTTCCAAGGGGCAGCGGCAACTAGGGTTGGGAAGAGATTTTCTTGTGGTGGAGGAGAAGGACGATGGAGGTGAATACGAAGGAGAAGATAGAAAACCTAACCACGAGCCGCGGACTCTTCCAACGACTGGTGGGCCTTGCGATTTGCTCCCCTTAAGCTCTCTCCCTTCTCAAGCCCTCATGCAAGAAGAAGTAGAAACACAAAATTTTTTTCATTCAAATCTTCATTAACCCAAAATACATAACAACTAGCCTATAAATAGGCCTCATGAAAAGAAAAGAAATAAAAGACTAAAATGCCCTTCGGGCTACAATACTACATGACCACCCATAAGGGTATAAAGGGAAAAACAATAATATGAAATAAACCAGTACATAAAAATAACTCAAGATCGTAGCCGTTGAACTTTGATGTCCTCATCAGTGTATTTGATCTATATTTTGGCAGCCATTTTTTACTCGTATTTGAATAAGATCAATTGCAAGTACCTCCTTCAAATCTTGTTGAAAACCTTAAGAGATTTTATTTGATTTTGAGTTGGTTTGTGAGAGAAATTAGGCTCCATTTCTAATAGTTCTTTAGATGGAGGACACAAGTTCTAGTCCTATGTATGATCTTCTTTAATTAAAAATTCACTCACATCCTACATAGAAATAGATTTGTAACTCATCTTTTGCCCACTTATTTGTAACTAACCTTCCGCCACTCTTTCAATTAATAAAATATTTGGCATATTATTCTATCATTTGAAATTTTTGCTAAATAAAATAAAATTCTTTTTTTTTTTTAAATTTTGTGGGGTTGTAATCTTGTTAAGTTGACCTTGAACCATGGCTTACTCAAACTTGACTTGACTTTTTCACCTTGAGCTCAGCTTTGAGTCAAGCTCAAAATTTGAGATTGAGCTCTACTCACATAAGAGTCTTATTATTCAAGCATGACTTTCAATTAATAGAAATTTGGCATATTATTCTATCATTTGAAATTTTTGCTGAATTAATTTTTTTTTTTTTCCTTTTGTGGAGTTATCCGACAAGGGCTTTAATCTTATTAAGCCGACCTCGAACCATAGCTTACACAAGCTTGATTTGACTCTTTCACCTTGAGCTCAGGTTTGAGTCAAGCTCAAGATTTGAGATCGAGCTCTACTCACTTAAGAGTCACTAAGCTCATGCTTGGATTGCTCAAGCTTGTTTGACTGCCTGAGCTCAACCAAAAGTTTGAGCCCATGCTCAAATTATTTACTTGCTAATTGTCTATTATCAAGAAGCTTAATTCAGCATTATAGTCTTTAGAAATATTATCTAATGACTGCACTTGCATTTTGGAAGCATTCAAGCAGAACTTATTCTAACTTTTATCCTGCAAAAAATATGTTATTATCATCCGCCATTCATAAAGCATAATATTATTCAAGTTTATAGTTGACCACACAAGCAGTGGTAAATCAACTTTACTACTGTGTTAGCCTCTGAAAGGTAGTTCCCATCTTTAGAGTGTTGCTTTCAAAAGGTAGTTTCTATCTTTTAGATTTTTTTGAATTTGAATTAGTTTCTTGATGTTTATTTGATCTTCATAAATAGACTTCAATTTTATAATATAATATCAAGCTTTGATTAAATGAACATTGATTCCTGGTCTCCCAAAACTTCTCCAAACCTATCAGCACACACACAATGCCTTTTTGTTTTCATTTCGAAGACCTAGGTCCTTTGAAAGCCAGTGGTGCCCTTCCCATGCAGCTGCAAATCCTAACAACCTTTTCGGATTTTGGCCTCCTCTCTATTTTACCGTAGAAATATTCAAGCACCCCTGCCTTTGTTCTCTTCGTCCAGCCATTCGACTGACTCCCAATTATTTTCTTACTCGTTTGTTATTAACAATGATTTTGTTCGCTAAGGTTAAAAATAGGGAAAAACCTATTATCCTTCAATTTTCTCCATAGAAGACTTCATCCATTTATACTAAACAATTCCTACTAGTTCTAGCATCCTTCTATACCTTATTCTTAATGATTTATCTTACTTGGGTTTCCAATTACTCCACCCTCATATGAAAAGATTTGCCCATTTATGATGGATATCTTATGATTAGAATTATATTATCTACAAAATTATACACCAAGGCACATTATTTTGAATATTTATTGTAAGCATCTTCATAACTAATAAAAAAGATATGAACTCAATTTTGATCATTTAAATGAACCTATGATAATTGAAAATGCTTAGGTCATTGCACAACTACTTCTATACCGAGATTTACCTTAAGATAGGGCAAGTAATTAATTTCTTAAAAAGAGTGCTAGTATTGAGATCTGCCCTTGTCCTTGTAGTTAGTGGTCATTGCACAACTACCACAATTAGGAAGACCAGATTATTATCAGAGCAATGAAGCACCGTGACATTTTTATGCTTCTTTTTCAAGGAAATTGAGAACTATGAAAATCATCATGTGAGTTCAAAGTATAGGAATACTTGTTACAAAAGCTTGAAAGTTATCTATTAAGGTAACTAACTGGCTACTATTAGTATGTGTCCATTTCTCTATTACGAGTAAAACTACTTCGGTAAGATAGAACCAGTCTTCACAGCTTTATTTAATCTGAAGTTCCACATTTGACAGCAATGTTTGTCACAGTCTGATTCGTCATTGCCTTGTTACATAGAAGATTTGCAAGGTGTTGATCACCTTGAGATCTGCAATAATTCTAGGAGAAAGAGGTAGATAACTTCTGAAATCAAAAATTGTATTATTAAGGAATAAGGAAAACTGAGAACTTGAGGTAGGGATGCTTCTTGGCCTTCACCAAATACCTGAAGAGTTGTTGCCTCAAAACTTCTGTGCGGATCCTTTCAACCAATAAAGAAACCTTCCTTTAATCTCTAGACCTTTAGGCCAATGTTCTAGAGGTGTCCTGAATTTTAATACCCTGCTGGCCAACCTCCCAGCAGCACGAAAAATGCTGATGTCTGATCGTAGCAGCTGCTAGAACAGTAATCATGGCTGTTCTTGACTGCAGGAGATGGTTCTAAGGGTAGGTGATTGATAGTAATGAAGTATTGGACTTCACTACGATCTCTTCCACTCACCTCTTCAATATAAATTTTAAAATTTTTAGATAAAATTCTAATAGAACTATTGAAGCATAGAAATTTTTATTTTATTGGAAGGACATCAATATGTGTAAGGTTTCCGGTGAGTTGAGGGATCACTTCTTGAGCTTGTGAGTTGATAAAGCAACTCCATAACCTAATAAATGAGAAAAGATTGAGCCGACTCGACTTACCTACATGAATACATCCCTTTAGTCGTAAGATCAAAAGGTAGGCCTCTTGATGGAGAAATTATTCTATGCGGATGCCAAACGCCATCCAAAGACCAACCAGAATGCGTCACGTCACCCCCGCTCTGTACCGCAGCTCGGTAACGCGCTCGGTACTGCTGACGTGGCGCATTCTGATTGGTCTCCGGACGGTGAACTACGTTCGGTGTCCGCACATAATAATTTCCCCTCTTGATGGTGGTGTTTATTCATTGATTTCACTTTTGGACTTGATAACTTGCATCTGATGTTATCCTAAAAGAAAATTAAAGTTTCAAATACAAAATATTCCTTGTCATATGGTTAATTTCTCTTGTTTTAAGAACTTAATGTACTTGCATGCTTATTCAATTTGTTTTCTCTTGCGATTTTTTTTATCCAAGTGGTTGCATTTTCCAGGCTAATACTTCTGAACCATTGAGGGTTGATGTAGCGGTACTTGACCAGCATCTATTTGACGACACAAGGAAATTGAAGAGCCTTTTCCCCAGTTGGGTGGATGTTACTACCTTCTCCTCATTTTTGTCAACCTATTATTTTTGAATTCTCATTATATTTACATTACAGAATCATTGTATCACAAAATAGTTGATATTCAAGTGTTGTACATTAGTCGATAAAATAATTGAGGCTTTACTACTGAGAGGGGACTGAATTTTTTTGTCTATTCCCCCAGTTTTATATTTTAGTTTCACACAAATGAATGAACAGCCTGTACTATATATATATATTTCTACATTAAGCAATTCAATTAACCACTGTAGGAAGAAATTTAGCAGGCTTTGATTGTCTCTTGATTGCAGAAAATATCATTTTTTCAACTGTTTATTAGCTTTTTTTTTCTTTCTTTTGATATGTAAGACGTTTATGTTCTAGTTAGTTTCTTTTATTATGTTTGTTGGAAGATTTGCAGTTCTTGACTTGGGAATATTATGAGAATATGATGACTTTGTACTAATGATTTTTGTTCAATTTTTTTTTTCTTATTTTCAAAATAAGAATTGATATACAATTAGTAATCATATAGAATTTTTTTTTTCATTTTTTGCTGCTTTCTAAAAAGTTGTTCGAAACGAAACCATAATCATTTTTTTTTTTTTTTATAGCTTTGTATGTTGCTTAGTAATGTTATATTTCACATTAAGCATATCTGTTGCAAAATTGAACAAGTTTTTAGATGGTATCTATATGCATAAGACCTTGCAAAAACTATAATTTTGGTTAATTGCTGCTTGAAAATTTCTATCTTCCATTTCAGTATCTATCTTCTCTAGTTAGGTTATCAACGACAATTGTGTATTATATTACAAATATAACATATAACATAGCACGAATTCCAAAGTATTTCTTCAAATTTATGTGAAGTTTTTTATTGATTATGAATGAGAGAAGTTGGAGAACATAAAACAACAGGTTATTATGTAATTAGAGACTAATATAGGGCTCTGAGCTGAAGGGCAATAGAATGGAAAGAAGTATATGTAGAGCACAAAAACTTATTTGAAGCCACATAAATGTTGGCCAGAATATAGCTCATCCTGTTCCCCAAAAAGAACAGATTAATAATAAGATCGTGGTGAACCCATGGTGAGAATGGGAAGAGGAGGAAAGTTATGTGGAAAGTGTTTTACTTGCTTAAGTGTCTTTTTACAAATTGTCAAAAATTCCAAGATGTTATTCTGCGCTTTTTATTTATAAGGATTGGAGGGCTATAAAAAACGGTATATCAAAAGAAAAAGAAAAAATACAACATGAAATTGGCCCTGGTATGGATTTTATCTAAACATGTACAATGCTCTGATTGACCCAGTGATTGATTGTGTCTATAACTTTTGATCCATATATCTCGTAGCGAGTTCCCTTATGTCAATTGCCGACAGACAAGTGAACTTGAGAGAGTATGGTGATGAGGGTTGAGTTGATAATAATGTGACTGACAAGTCTTCTGAAGTTATTAGAAACCTTTTTGATAGTCTCCAATTTCTTATGGGAAGCAAGTCTATTCAAATTGTGGGGGTGGTGGACTTTATGGTCAGTTGAGTGTGATGAGATGAGCTAGAGCGTTCTTGAGAATGTCTTTCCCTATATCTTGGATGAGTGATTCTCATTTATGGCACTTCTCCCTAGGTGGCGGCAAGGGGCTTTGGTGGGTGCTTCTAGCTTGGGGGTGAGTTGTGAGTCATTGGCTTTCCTTTGGGAGACGGCTTCCATCTGACTATGTTACTAAGTTGGTGGTTAATGACCCTCGATCAAGTTTTCATTATAAAGGTTAACGAGACACGAGTTCACCCAGTATGATCATCCAGTTACTTATTAAATACATAAAAAGGCATATGTGATAATACATATTCGTTATTTATTTTATTGTAGAAATGTGCTTGAAATTTTATTTCAATTGCAAACTTATTTGAATAAGGGCTTAGGGGTGCAAACAATGTTAGAATTTGATTCAAATATTGATGGAGCTAGGTAAGCACATGATTCAAATATGGTTCAAACATGATTAACATATGCTTTGACACAACAAAGTGCATTGCAATAGTTTTAACATAGTATATTACAATATTGATATAATATAAAGTGATCATAGTATTATAACATAGTAGGACTATGATAGATATAATAGAGTCCAATATAACTATTATAACACGGTAGAGAGCCATCACAATAATTATGATAGAATATTAGAAGATAGATATACAAATATGTAAACTAAGTACTATAACATAATAGAGTGCAATGCGATAGTTACATTACATCAAAGAGCAATCACAATGATTATTTCACATCTATGTTCAATCCACCAATTATAATAGAATAGATATGAATAGAACTCATCAATCAAAAGAATCAATGTTTACAACTAAAAGCTATATGAGTTAATTGAAAAATAATATTTATAGAATGATTCAATTATAATTGAATAAACTTGTGTATTTATATCATTGTGAAATATGTTCACATAAATGATGCCTATATAATTATATAAGATTAGGCATAACTTCTAGAAAATTTTTCCTTACAATTAGTTAGATTTTGTGCTACATTGCAAACACTTCATTATGTCTGTTGAAAATGAAATTAAATACCCTCATCATACTATTTGTGGCTATGTTTAGAAGCTTTAGAGGAGAAATGTTTCTACATATTACCAAATAACCCTAGCCTCTCAAGCAACATAGGGAAGCACTTACAAAACAAACTCATTGTTGCCTATAAAATCTACGCCGAAGTGCAAGAGGGGTTCAAAGTCATACAATGGCATGGATTGCATGGTAAACAAGACATCACATATCATCCAATGTATTTTGTTATAGAGATTACATGATCAAGTCATAAGAACATATAGTGATCATGCATATATATGAAGATTGATCTTCAACTAGACGACATCATTTCATTCAAATGAGGTACAACGAGATTTTGAATCACACATTAGGAATTGAAGGAGAAGATGTAAATGATATAAATTATGTTTAAATGTGGCAGTATATCGTAGTTGGAGTATCACAAATTATGACTTCATAGTAAATTTGTATGATGATTTATGAATCTACCACTTCAAAAAGGAAAGAATAATAAAAAAATTATCGGGAGCAAATTGATTAGAGATATAGTGTCCATTCAAGTTTTATATGTCATATTAACCTACACATACTCAACTGTAATCTCACATGCATAAATTGCTCAAGGAAAGAAATATTAAACTTTCATGATAGTAGTTGGCATTCGAAAAAGGTTATTGGCATATTAATGTATCATATTAGAAGCTTAGATATTTTAGATGATCAAAATGTCCCTATAGTAGCAATGAATCTTTGATATTTGTATTTATTCCAGACTAAGTGTGTAAAATTATTGATATTATTGCAGTAAATATTTAATTTTTGATGTGAGATCATTAGAGAGTTGTACATTCATATGTTATTAAAAATTAGATATAATAATAGGATGTATGTATCCTGATTTAACATAAATACCTTTTCAATAAATAATTGCATAATAATTTGAAAATTTTATAGACCACTACTTTATATTTAGTTAGTGCTAATTATTCTTCTTTTTTAGGTGAGGTGTTTTTGAAGGGCATCAAAATAATTGATAAAAACTTGATATTTAAGAACAAATAAATGTAAGAGAAAACACTATTTTTAGATATGGTGAAAAAGATTGATTGTCATCAATAATGCTTCTACCCAAAATAAGTGGGATAAGTTGGCAACAATGAGAAAAGTTTAAGCTGTTTTGAGAAGGTGATGATTTTTGCACTTAGCTATCCTATTTTGCTCCAATGTGTAGGGACATGTTTGTTGGTGTTATCCCTCAATTGGAAAGTAGTTTTTGAATATTTGTATGGATATATTCACCACCACCATTTGTCCTAAGATATTTTTTTAGACATTTGAAATTGTTTATCCATAAAATTATTAAAGTGGATAAATTTGGTTGTAGTTTCAAATTTCATAAACATTGAAAATACCCAACAATAACGTGAGAAATCATTGAGAAAGAAGATCATGTTTATCATCATGATAAAGTTTTCATGGTAGGATTCCATACATCAGAGTGAATGAGCTCAAAAGAAGCTAAAATATATGAAGTAGATAATTGAAATAATATGTGATGACATATTGATTGTTTGCAGGAAGTTCATGATAAATGTATAAATGATCAAGTATATGTAACAATCTGAACTTCTGAAAAATCTATTAAAATAGAAAAATATGAATTCCTATTTGAATTGCCGAGCGGCAGAGAGAAGGGAAGAAACCCGATTTTTAGCGGCTGGATCGCCTTGCCGCTTTTGTAGAAATTTCTCAGATCACTACAGATGATTCTAATCTTATCTCTATTTTTAAAGATTTTGATTTGAATTATTAGATTCTCCTCAAAACTAATTTTATTGCATTTTTTCAGATTTATTAAATTTTTATCACACAACATTTTATATTTTATCGTACTGATTATCCAAAACATTTTGACTGTAATATTTATTGAATTTCATAGTTGAAATGAAAGTTGTTGTATTTTATATTATTTCTACTACTTGAATAACTGATAATTTTATTATAAGCATATTGTTAATACAAGTATTGAAAATAAATGAATGTGTGTAGTTGAGTAATAGTTGGTCGCAATTTTTGCTATAGTCCTGTGATAATAATGTGCTCGAGATCAAATAAAAGCTTGTTTCATTAACATTGGCTGGAGACTGACAACATATACAGGATGGTGGGCTAACAAAATGTTCTTTAAATATTATGATTTGGTGTTATCTTTTATTGATTCACGTGATACTGATTGAGAGTTATAAAGAATTATTATTATGACAACGGGCAAAGAGTAATGACTTTGTTTACTGAGCAAATGTGAAATTTATATAGATAACTGCTTACTGGAAAAATAGCATTTAAACAAGGACTTCTTACTTGTTTAGTGTGACTACTAAGATACATGTTATTGATTTATTGTTACTATTACTATATGATTGTACTGCCAAAAAAGGACAAGTTGTTTGGTCCTAAGTCTTGTTGCAAGCTGGCTCTAGCGATTCTGAGGCAATTCTAGGGTTCCATTTTCAGCGCCTCTTGCTGCCAATTCGTGGCTCCATTTGAGATTTTTCTATATTTTCCTCTTCGTTTCCTGATTTTGTTTCATTTTTGTGTCTTCATTTTGGTTTTCTTTTTCATTTTTTCATTGGGCGTGGGCGATGACGATGCCATCATCATCTGACCCATGGTCTTCCTTAAATCCTGATGATAAGTCGCGATCTTTTAAAGA